AATGAATCCACTACCCATGCCTCTCTCTCTCTTTCTCTCTCTGTAAGATGTGCTTACATCTAATTTTGGGAGAGAGGTTTCAGTGCTTGGTATAGTCTGTAAACATCCTGGCTTAGTTATGGAGTTTAGCTGGATTTTTATGTTGAGGATTCCCGGTGTTGTGCCATCTTTCTAATATGGCAGATTCCAAGACTGGAGCTGACAGTGATATCCCCTTTACCTTTTGTACATTCCTGCCAACACTGGCTACTATACACGTTTACTTAGGAAGGGCCCCCAGTTTACAGATTAAGGCAGAGAAGAAAGATCCCATATTGAAAAGAAAAATTAAAATTTTTATTTGCCATGCCAAGACTTCCTCAGCGCACCTGATGGTCACATGGAGTGAGTGGAGTTTTCTCTCCACTCTTGAACATCTCCACCCTTGAACATCTCTGGTCTCTAAGGGCAAACTTCACTGGATCTGGAGGCCCAGCCTGTCTTCAGAGGGTGGACATATCTCCTATAGTAAATTTTCCGTTCTGGAGAGGGCAAAGTTCTGCTTCCCCCCCCCTCCTTATCATGAGAAGTTACTTTACACTGCCTTGGTTTCTTTCTCCTGGGCCCAGCAAGCATTTCCCCTGAGAGTCCTATCTTTAGGCTGAGTTTCATTGAGGAGGCAGTTATCTGCCTGGGGGGATATATGATTTCCCAGGGTGAAAGTTATCAGTTACATTTGTCCTGGTGTCTATAATCATTTCCTCTTGGGCTTTAGACTGTCTTTATTTTATTCTTGTTGATTAAAAAAACCCTCCAAAACCCAAATAATGAAAGTTACCTTGGAGTATCTGGAGTCTCACTGTCTGGTGTAGTTTTCTTCTAACATCTGGAGTTCTGACTTGAATTAAATAACCGTAGCCTTATTCACACATACATAGTCTATTTAAAAGGTGTTGTTTTGTTTTGTTTGTCATGGCCTCATGTAGCTTAGGCCAGCCTAGAACTCACTATATAGCTGAGGCTATTCTTGAACTCCTGGTCCCTTCTGCCTCAACCCTCAAAGTACTGGGATTATGATACATCACTTTTTAATCTGTTTGATTATGACACATCACTTTTTGTTTGTAATTTACTTAAATATACCCATTTTTGTCATTTACTCAGATTGTGTTGGTTAATCTTTTTGACGGATTAAATTTCATACATGTATACGAGGCGTTCTGTGGTCTCCATCCCACCCCTGCCATTCTCCAAGATGGTTAATCTTGTCAACTTGGTTGGATTTGTAGTTGCCTGGAAGACACATCTCTGGGAGGTCTGTGAGGGCATTTCTGGGAAGGCACAACTGAAAGGAGGTCCTCCCTCGAGGTGGGGGGCCTCTTCCCACCAGGTTCAGACATTAGGACGTCTGAGGAAAAGCAGCTGGGCACACCTGTCTTCGCTACCAGCTTGTGAGTGCTCCATTGGGACATCAGAATCAAGCCCTGTTGGGGTAAATGTGGACTCAAGACCAGTGACTGGATAAAGAGGAATCTTCCTGGCCTTCAGCACATACTGGAACTGTGAGGAACATAGCTCGGTGGGCGGAACAACTTCTAGATTCTCAGTCTCTCCAGTAGGCGGATGACTTGTTGATGGGCCCCCACTATTGGTGGTAAATTCCTTTAGAAAATCCCCTTTACAACACACATACATACATACATACACACACACACACACACACACACTCACACACACACTCTCATACACACACTCATGCACACACACCCCTACACTTTCCATCAGTTTGGTCACGGGTGCTGCCCTTGTAGAGGGATCAGCCTTCCGTCTTATCAAGTGCTGAACTCATAGCAGGTGACAGCCCCTATCCTTTCCTAGCCTACCAAGCCCAGAGACCCTTCCCCTCTAAAGTCTGTAGGTAAGCAGAGGGGAGCTCTTGGGTCTCCTGCCCCAGCCTCCAACCCTGTGAGTGACTAGCCTTACTTGAGATAATTTCACCTGACATCTTCATTCTTTGAAACACATGGTGTGAAACCCTGGTACTTGAGAGGTAGCTGGTGTGGATTTCTCTCTCTCTCTCTCTCTCTCTCTCTCTCTCTCTCTCTCTGTGTGTGTGTGTGTGTGTACTTTATATCTAACCACCTGTCACCCCTGCAACTGTTTGGCCTATTGCTCAGGCCTATTGCTAACTAGCTCTTAAAACTTAACCTATAATTCTTATCTATGTTTAGTCATATGGCTTGGTACCTTTTCTCAGTGAGGTATTCTCATCTTGCTTCCTCAGTGTCTGGCTTGAGACCGCATCTCTGTCTTTCCTCTTACCAGAATTCTCCTACTCTGGTCATCCTGCCTATACTTCCTGCCTGGGTATTGACCAATTAGTGTTTTATTAAATCAATATGAGTGACAAATCTTTACAGTGTACAAGAGCATTATCCCATAGCCCACATTAAATTAATTAATTAATTAATTTATTATTTATTTATTTATTCTCCCTCTCATCTCTCCCCTCCCCACTCGGTGTTGGTCAGAGGACAACTTTTGGGAGCTGATTCTCTCCTTTCACCCATTTGGGTGCTAGAGTTTGAAGATCATTAGACTTAGAGACAAATGCCTTTCCACGTGGAGCCGTCTTGCCAACTAGCCCCTGTCCCCACTTTTGAGCAGGCTTTCTGCTGGATCAGAGGTTCAGGAGACCTTTCCTCTTTCCTGCTTTTGGCCCTCCCCCAGGTTCTAGCACCTTCTTTCTGAGGTCCTTTCCTTATCAGAACTTGATTTCTCTTATACCCATTGCAAAGTTTCTGTATTCTTAGGAACCCTTGTTCACGGTAAACTGCCCAACTTCCACCACTGGGTTGGAGGCTTTCTACAGGGTTTAGGTCTGTGTCTATTGCTCTGATCCACACTGATTTCCTAAGACCGTAGGATCTCAGTGGCACACTCTGAGTTCATCTATTTCCAGAATGGTGAACGAGAATGACAAAGACATTTATCTATTCTTATTTTTTCCTAGACCTTGTTGACTTAACAGACACTCTCTCTCCAATGGGCTCCGCTCAGTCATGCGACTTCAAAGGTCTCCTCCTTGGCTGTCTAGTTCAAAATCATAAACTTCTCTATCTGGGGATGAAAGCAAAGGAAGGAAAATGTCTTCTTCCTTGTAATTCTGTTTGACCACAGTTATGACTTGATGACAGCCTAGGTCCTGAGAATGATACTTTTGACTTTAAAAACCTGAAAGAAAACGTATGCAACACCGTGAGAAATGCTCTTGCGTAAGAGGTTTCTTTCACAAACCAGAACCGCCCCTTCCTCTCCATGCCCTGGGCAACCATCTCCAACCATTCTAAATTCCTTTGTATGCTTTCAAAACTACAGCACAGATGTACATGGGGCACTTTCTCATCCCTCCTGGGTCCTTCAAGGACTCCTGCCCCCAGCGTCAGTTTTGAACCAAGGACCAGGGGATCCATGGGAAGATGAAAGGGGATCTGGGTGACGTCTTTTTGTGCCCCCAGTTACAGCTGGATGTCTGCCATCAGCCTGTGGTAAGACTTGGATCCCTCTCCCTGGACCGAGGTAATAACATTCTCTACTCTTTCTACAACTTGCTTTTTGTATGCACATCTGTGCCTGGCTGCAGGAGTTACTTCCTGACAAACCTTTACAATGTGTGTCAGAGTTTTGGTTTTTGTCTTCAGTCTTAGTTTTATTTCAAACTGATCATCCTTGGAACAAAATTATTATTTAAAATTCCTTTTTAAATCTGGAAGTATTTCTTTTAACATTTACCAAAGCCATACTTTATATCTATAACTTTCTATACCTTTTTGTTCTTTTAATTCTTTATTACATTTATTGAGTGTGTGTGTGTGTGTGTGTGTGTGTGTGTGTGTGTGTGTGTAAGCTTGTCTAAGTGTGGAGATCAGAGAACAACTTGCAGGAGTTAGTTCTTGCCTTCTATCATGTAGGTCCTGGGGACAGAATTCAAGTCATCAGGCAAGTCCCTTTACCTGATTAACCATTTTGCTGGCCCTCTATTTTTTCCTTTACTTATTTTCTTTTATTTTTCTTTAAAAAAATTTAGAAAGTGTTTTCCTTTCCTTACTAAAACACCGAGCTTCAATTAAACCCTAAGGAGCTAGTTCTGAAACTGGCAAACCATCAACAGCTTTGTAGATAATTTTATTTACTTTTAAATTCTATGTCCATTAGTATTGAGGGTAAACTGAAAAAGGAGAGATAAATATGAGAAACTAGATAACACAAAACAGACTCACCTCTCAGGAGCCTGAGCCATAGAGACCCTGCAAGCCAGGCCAGTCTCTGTTCTTTGAAAACAAAAAGAGTACGGAGAAAAGAAAAAAGAAAACTCTGTAAGGCAAAACAAAGGAGTGGACTGGGTCCGTCTTGCTATTTGATTGACTATTCTAGAAAGAAGGAAGGATGCTACAGAAGAGCTTGGAAGGATCCAGTGCCACGTCTGTGTAAGGTTCACTTGGAGATAATTGGCTAAACGTTCAGCTAAACACTGCAACTAATATCTTAGTTAAGATGTTTACAGACTATACCAGGCTCTGAAACCTCTTTCCCAAAATTAAATGTAAGCTTATCTTACTCAAAAACAAGAAAGAATAGGCCATCCAATATAAACTAAGCGCGGCTAGTGGATTCATGGGAAGTATCAGGTTGTTACCCCATACAGGGACGTCATGAGCACACTTCCTCTTATAGTTTGTCCAGAATTGTGTCAATGGTTTTAGCTTCAAGAGAGGTTGGGAAAATGGAGTAGGCGTAAAAGCATACGTGTTGGCTGGGGCTGGCTGAGCTGGCCGCTCTAGCACTCTTGCTGCTGCCAGGCCAGGCAGGCAATCCTGCAATGCTCTTCAAGGCTTGTGCATTGTTTGTGGGTGATGTTCTTGGGTTCTTTCTTGGAGCATTTAGGAAAGTCCCAGGGTTGCTGTCGCTAGGGGTCCTTCTATAGGATTGCTACTGACAAGGCTTCTGTGGGAGATTTTTTGGAAGAGGCTGGTCGGCTGATGTCTTTGTCGATGATGGTCTCAGCATCTAGTGGTCCAAGTCGTCTAATGGGGGGGGAGAGCTCCTGGACGTGGGAAACAACAGATCCAGTGATGCAATATTCCCTTCCCCTTGTTACTCTGCTATGATGACCTAAATCTTACCCAGAAAGTCCTCTTTCTCTGCTCTTATTTAATACAGTGCTGGATGTCTTAGTTAGAGCTAGTAAGAGAGACCAATGTCTAGGGAGAGGGACTAATGTCTAGAGAGAAGGACTAATGGCTAGTGAGAGAGACCAATGGCTAGCTTGAAAGACCAGTGACTAATAAGCACATAAGATGCTCAGCATCATTAGCTATTGTGGAAATGAAAATGAGAACAGAGGCGTAGTCATACTCACTGGAGAGTCTACGGTGAACGGTTAGGAAGGACCAAGTGTTGCCGAGGATAAGCAGACATAGGAGTCTTCATTCATTGTTGTGCAACCACTTTGGAGAAGAGACCAGTAGTTCCTTAAATGGCTAAACCATAGAAACAGCCTTACTATAGGATTCCACAATTCCACTCTGGGTATATGCAAGGAAAATGAAAAGACATGTTCAGGCAAAGGTTTGTACCTGGGAGTATTGACAGGGAAGGGGCAGCAGAGAGGTGGTGGTCAGGGCGTTCTGTTTCCTTTCCATTGCTCTGATGAAACCCTGACTGAAAGTAGCTTAGGGGAGGAGACAATTTACCTAGCTTATTCTTCCAGGTTCATCACCAAGGAAAGTCTAGGCAGGAGCTCAAGCAGGAACCCGAAGCAGAAAGCGTGGAGGAACGCTGCTTGGCGGCTCCCTCGCAGGTCATGCTCAGCTAGCTTTCTCAGACAGTTCAGGAATACCTGCCCAGGCAATGGCGCTGCTCACTGTGGGCTGGGCTCTTCTCCATCTATCAATAATCAACACATTCTCCCCACAATTGATGTCTACAAGCCCATCTTATCTGGGCATCCCTCAACTGAGTCATCCTTCCCAGACAACTGCAGGCCAAGTTGACAGGTAAAGCTAGCTAGGAATACAGTGCCTCTTTGCATTAGTAAAATATTCTAAAATTGATTGTGTTATTGTGTAAGTCTGCTAAAAATAATTGGCTTATACATATTAAACAGGGATTTGTATACTTTGCAAATTATGTATGTATTTTAAGTTTGTACCTATTAATAAAGTGTGACATTTCAAAATGCTTAGGCTATATAGCTGTTACACATTAATACTGGTCTTGGGTTCTTTGTTTTGCTTTTCAAGGTAGTGTTTTTCTGTGTTTTTCTAGTGTTTTGGCCTCAGACTCAGAGATCTGTCTGCTTCTGCCTCCTGAGTGCTGGGATTAAAAGCATGAGTCACTACTTCTTGGAAATACTATTCTTGTTTATTACAAGAATTATTCTCTGGGCATAGATCCATGAGTTCTAGGCAAGCCTGGACCACAAAGTAAGTCCCAGGGCATTCAGAGAAGCCTCACTTAAAAAAAATGTTATTTCCTTAAAATGTTACAGCTGGATTGGAAGAATATTTGGGACATTACAATGTGGTTTACATCATAAGTACATGTCCTAACCACTGGAGATCCAGTCATTGCCTTTGTGGAGTCTGAAACAAAAGCGCGAACAGCAAAAGCTATTGAGGGAGGTTGGGCCCTGACAGAATCGTGTAAGCATGCAGACAATTGCCAAACAGTCATGTAATTTGCAATTATTCCAGTTCCTTAACAACTTACAAGAAGAAGCACCAAGAAACCTGGTATATTTTTCTAAGACAGTGAAAAACAAACCCATTTCTGCTTCGAGTAGCTGGTAACTACTTATTTAATATTGAAGTATTGTAAACCCACAGTTCAAGAAAAATGAACCCAGTGCTAACATTGTTACAGAAAAGAAGAAGAAAAGCAAGAGAGAAGGAAGACATGGTGCAGACCAAATAGCTAAATACACACACAATCACCATTAGTGTCTGTAAAGGCTGCGTCTGGGGGCTCAGAAACAGAAACCCCTGAACCCCAAAAGCAAAGGAAAAGAAAAAGCAGAAAAGTCTAAGTGTCCAGCTTACCTGAGGACAAAGCAGGGAAGAGCAAGAGAGTTCCGAGGATGTGAACACCCACTCCCCAGGTCAAAAGCAGCAGAAACGACTGCTAACATAGATGACTCTGAGTCTGGAAGAAGCAGAGGTGGAGAAGACGGATGGAGAAGAGGGATGGAGAAGAGGGAGAGGTGGACACTAAGACTGGGACCGGACGAGGCAGGGGCATGTCTACAACTTCACAGCCACAGCTGTTTGAAGGAAAGTCCTTGTCTTTCTAGGCTTGGATTCTGTTCTACAGAAGAGGGAAAGAGTGGTGGAGGTAGGAAAGATGATCTTCTCAAAAGGGAAAAAGAAGCATAAGAAAAAACACAGAGAGAAGAGGTGGCCTCCTTGACTGAGCCACCAGTTAAGTGCCCCATTATGCTATTTTCCATGGTAGTTGACAACGTTCAGCAAGTTATATCTTAATAAAGCTGTTTCTTTTAAAAAAAATGCTAAGTGTTGTGTATTTTAGGAAGTGAGAGGCTGCTGTCAATGCTGCTGGAGGGAGCCTCAGACTTCAGAGGCTGCTGTCGATGATGCCAGAACCTCAGACTTCAGAGGCTGCTGTCAATACTGCTGCAACCCAGACTTCAGAGGCTGCTGTCGATGGTGCTGGAACCTCAGACTTCAGAGGCTGCTGTCGATGGTGCAGACTTCAGAGGGTGGCAGGGTACTTGAATGAGGGCTTGACAGCTTGTGGTTTGGGTGTGTGCGGAATTTCTATGATTGACTTTTTCTAAAAAAAAATTTGTTGGGGCTGGAGGGATGGCTCAGAGGTTAGGAGCACTGACTGCTCTTCAAGAGGTCCTGAGTTCAGTTCTCAGCAACCAATGGTGGCTCACAATCATCTATGATGAGATTTGGTGCCCTCTTCTGGTGTGCAGACAAACATGCAGACAGAACACTATATACATAATAAAATAAATCTTAAATTTTTTTATTGATTCTTTGTGGATTTCACATCATGCATTCCAATTCTACCTATTTTCCTATGTCCTTGCATCTACCCTCTGCCTCTGCAACCTACCCCCCCAAAACAAAACCAAATTTGAAAGAAAAACCAAAAATCAAACAAGAAAGAAACGAAACAGAGGGAGAAGAATCTTGTTGTGGAAGCTGTAGTGTAGCTGTTGAATCACACAGTTCACCCTTTAGTCCATTCATCTTTGCAAGTGTTCATTGCCATGAGTCACTGGTGTGGCACCCTGGCTTCTGTTATACTATGGCGAATGGGCTCTCCTCTTGAATATCCTGTTGTTAGCCTGTGTCATGAAGTTCCTACTGTTTCGGATCTGCAGGTCTGGCCCCTTCACCTGCTCCCACAGTTCATAGATGAGGTGGATGTTGGGGTGGGTCAACTCATAGCCCTGGTTCTGGGCCTGGGTGGTAGCTGGGTTGGTCAGCTGGCTAGCTTTCCCTTATCCCCACCACTCCATCACTGCCTCAGCTAACTCACCCAGTGCAGCCTGCAGCTAAGGGCAGGACCAGTTCTGTTCTCGGCTTCTCAGATCTTGGTCAATCACACTCACACTACCAGGGTTAGCTCTACTGTTTTGCCCAGGTGAACTGCAGGACCCTCTCTCCTGATGGCTGTAGGGGGTATGCGAGGCTGGGGCAGTCAGCTCGTCTGCTCACGTTCCCTCAGGGCTGGCTCACCTAAGCACCACCAACAGGATCAGCTCTAGTGTGCTACCCAGGCGGGATACGGGGCCTGCTCTCTTGTGTGCTGCAGCTGGTGCTGGGCAGGACTAGTTCTCTCACTCTTGTGACCCCTGGTCCAACTCCCTCACCTGCCACAGGCAGCAAAGGGCGGAGCCACAGGTAGCAAAGGGCTGAGTCGGGAGGGCATCTTTCCCTCATCTATGCCACAGCATAGCAGACGGGTGGTGGTATGGATTCAGTTCTCCTGCTCTCAGACCCTCAGAGTCAGCTCACCTGCATCCTGACCACAGGGTCAGCTCTAGTGTGCTGCCCAGGTGAGGTGCACATCTGTGGTGAGGGGTGGGGCCGTCTTTCTCAGAGTGCAGAGGCCAGTTTTCCCCTGAGGGGTGTGACCAGCTCTCCTGCTGCACTATCCAGCAAGGGACAGGGCCAGCTGTCCCAGGGTCAGTGAAATTTCCAGGCACACCCCTCTGCTAGCACCGGCCAAGGACATCACCACAGATCCTGGCTGCAGTAGGACCATGAACTCAGACATGGCCTTCGGCAGTAGCCCTGGCTCGGTCAACACCGTGGCTCTGGGTGACAGCTCAGGCCATTCAGAGCAACACGGCCCTGGTGGTGACACGGTCCTTGGACACGCTCATGGCCACAGGCTGCTGCCTGTGATTGGCTTTTATTTGTATCTGAGAGACAAGAAATTTCCACAGATTTCACTCCAAAGGAGTGTGTCCTTGGATACAGAATGTTGCTCCCAGCAGAGACCAGCCAGAACATTAACAACGTATTGAGAGTGCCAAACTGTGTAGTCTGGGGTTGGCCATGCCAAGTATCACTCTGTTGACTGGAGCCTGGGCAGCTGCACCCACTTGGGTCCGTTATCAGGGATGTTCTGATTAAGGCCGTGATGGTTGATTTTAAATTTTAACTTGCCACAGCTTGGAACGGCCTGAGTAGGGAGCCTCCATTGAGTAATCGTATATATCTGGCTGGCCTATGGCTTATCTGTGGGGAACAGCTCTGACTGCCTTAGTCAGTGTGGGAGGAGCCACCCCGAGGCAGGCAGCATCTGCTGGTAGCAGTGCCGATTTTCAGGCCAAGTTAATTTACCTTGTTGCTGGTGCTTGTTCCTTTGCTGATACAAGGACTGGGTTTTTCTGGGTTCCACCATGGCCTGAGGGAGGACCTATGGCTTTCCAGGAAACTTCCAGGCCTTTGGTGCCAGGTTTGGGATGGCTGAGATACCTAACCTCATGGGATGAGCAATTACCACATTCTCAGCTTTGCAAGTGTAAGTCTTATTATACTTTGGCCGTATTGCATAAGTTGAATTAATAGGTCACCCTAGCAGTCCTGTTCCTCCCGAGAACCCTGACCAACATAGGTATGAAAAGCAGTGGTTTTGATTGACATCCATCACCGGTAATGATGGCGATGATGTGTGTGAGGGTTGTGAACACAGGCGTCCCTTTGCTGTTTACTAGGTTCATCCCAAAGTTGTCGATGGATGACCGTTTTCTGCAGCATGGCACATATCAAGGGACTGAGAACAGGGGAGGTAGTTTCCCACCGCAGTCTAGATTCACCAGAGGATCTGCTCTCCATCCTGTGGGTACCATTTCCATTGTAGTAATGGGATCTCAGGCCTTTGTTTCACTTAGGGGTGCTGCTTCAAGCCATGTTGGAGAGCTGGAAAACTCAGGGTCTGTATCTATAGAACAGCCCAGTGTGGGGCCTGCAATGGTGCCAGAATGGAACTTGGGTGTGGCCAGATTCTCGCTTGCAAAGACTTTGATGGCAAAGGTGCTGACATACCTTGAGGAAGGTGGGAATGGTAAATTGCAGCCCTCTGAAGGACAGGGAAGGAAGGCTGACTAAGCAGCAGTTGAGACAGTGCTGAGCAGGGGCATTAGCCTCGTATAGAATAGCAAACCAGGTTCCACATACAGAAGCAGGCAGCAGCAGGGTACTT